TGACATACAACGAATATTCATAGCTGCACATAATTCTTCAAGTTGGGTATGACCAATTCCTATCGTAATAGTCCCAGCTACTTCAGCTCTATTTATGGTTATGTTTATGTTTATGTCGGTTCTGACCAGATACTGGCTTCATAATTGCACATCTGACATTTAAAAAATAATTGTGTCAATAATCCATAACGTTGATATTTGACGAATTTCCAATCTTTGAATTGACATTCTATACCACATGCATGGTAATCAAAAGTTCTATGTATTTCGCTTAACATATACGAAATATCAACAATACTACGGCTTTGAAGCACACTTTCTTGAATACAATGTGCATCCAATAAACCGCTATTATCAATTATAAGATTTTCGTTATCATCACCTTTTTCATTTTCATTTTCATTACTATTTTCATAATCATTATTCAAAATATTAGTTTTATCATCATTATTATTTTTATATTTTTTACCATTATTATCAAAAGCATATTTTTTTTCATTATTATTCAAAGTATTATATTTATCATTATTATTATCATTTATTTCTTTTTTACTATTATCAAAAATATTTTTATCATTATCAGTACTATCTTTTTTATTATTTTTTTTATCATTACTCTTATTATTGTAAAACTTTTAATTGTACATACCATTTCTAAGCTTATTATTTGAAGATTCTTTTTCTGTAAAATTGTCGATCAAATCCTTAGATGACTCCAAATAATTTATACAATTGGCTATTGTCGAATCCAATATGTTTTTTACTTGCCGCCTGCAATAAAAAAAACATCATATTAGGTGCCTATGAACTATGCTCATCTAATGAGCCATGTGAAAGTTACATTAAATTTCCTCTCTCTCTCTCTCTCTCTCTCTCTCTCTCTCTCTCTCTCTCTCTCTCTCTCTTTCTCTCTCTTTTTAAATATATAAGATCTTTAAATATATTCTTCTTTAAATACATAAAATTAGAGTACAGTAAAAAAATATAAAAAATTTATTAAACAGAAATTAAGCAACACGGTAATATCGCGAAGCCAAATGCATGCGCGAAGCAACACGGCATACTGTGTATAATTATGCGACGGTTTTAGTTGAATGTAGGTTAGATTCTCGATTCGGCTATAACGGCTGAATTGACGAAGTTCTGGAGGGATTAAATCGATTCCTTGGGTTTACATTAATTCATAAAACTGTCTTTACTTTTGCTCTATTGAAAGGTGAGGACAAATATGGAGAGGGGATAAAAAGGAGAGAGATGCAAGTCGATCAAGATCAAGATCAAGAAGAGGATAAATTATAGGAAGGAGAAATATTGGAAGCAGTGAAGAAGATGAAGAAGAAAAAAGCATGTGGGGAGAATGGAATACCTAATATAATTCTTAAAATCCTACAATTTTTGTAAGAAACACTTCCTAAAAAACATAACATAACATAACATCAAAATTATGAATATTTTATTATCTTACTCATCTCTTTATCCACTTGCTTTTCCGTGAATATCGTGGACGAGAGAGAGATAATTTTCTAATCTTGCTTCCTTCCTTCATTTTTAAAATACACAACACTTCACTAAGCGTTTATAAGAAATATATTAGCAGTAAGGTTATAAAACGAAACCTGAATAACATCTCTTTTATCTAAACTTACTGCGCGGCGGGCCATACAACTGACGGTCGCGACTGTCAGACTTAGAAGCGTTGAAATTATAAATAGCGCATCTATGTAAAAGGTGTGTTGAATAAAATTTGTTTCCAAGAGACATCACACCTATATGATAACAACTGTGCATTATCGTTTTCGTCTGATATTTCGGCGCAGATAGAAAGAAGTAATCTTTGCAGAAGTATTCGATGTCATGATAGTAACTGTTCCTTATCGTTTCCGTCTAATATTGGGCAATGCTCCGCTTCATTTTCGCACGTACTTTCACTGTGCAAAAGGGTTTTTAATTCGACGCATGTAGAAAGAAGTAAACTTTGCAGAAAGATTCGATTTCGTGATAGTAACTGTGCGTTATCCTTTTCGTATTATATTAATGGATGCTCCGCTTCATTTTCGCACGTTCTTTCACCATGCAAAAAGGTTTTTAATTCGGCGCAGGTAGAAAGAAGTAATCTTTGCAGAAGTATTCGATGTCATGATAGTAACTGTTCCTTAACGTTTCCATCTAATATTGGGCAATGCTCCGCTTCATTTTCGCACGTACTTTCACTGTGCAAAAGGGTTTTTAATTCGACGCAGGTAGAAAGAAGTAAACTTTGCAGAAAGATTCGATTTCGTGATAGTAACTGTGCGTTATC